TCTTTATGTACTGAGTAGGGGCTCCTTGACTGTCAAGGGCTCCAATGACAGCCTATATCTCAATTGAGCCAAAGGCTTTCTGTAAATCAATAAAAGTGAGAAGGAGTGGTCTTTTGTACTCTCGCGATACTTCAATGAGCCTTGTTACCGTATGGATGTAGTACATCGTACTAAATCCTTTTCGAAAGCCTGCTTGTTCACATGGCTGTCGGCCTAGTGTTCTGTCAATCCTGTTTAGGATAACCCGAGCGCAAAGTATCTAGACGACAGACAGTAAGCAGATTGGGCGTTAGTTGCCGATATCGTGCAGGTCACCATTCTTGAACAATAACACGGTATTGCTGGTGTTCCACTGAGTAGGGACGTTGCACTCGGACAGGTGACGTGTGAAGAGCCGAACCAATGTGTTTGCGAGGACTGGCGGAAGGTTCTTCAGGTGTTCTGGTCTTATCCTGTACAGACCTGGTGCTGTTCGATTTTTCACCGACGAAATAGCTTGTCGGATTTCGGAAAGGAGAACCGGTGGTACAACATATCCATCCTCCTTTATTTCATATGACGAAAGGTGGACATGGCTATCGAAGAGATCCGAGTAGTATTTGTGAATGATTTTCTCCATTGTCTTTCTGGACAATGTAACTGTTCCGTCTGGGCGCCGTAGAGCAATCATTTTAATCTTGTAATTGGCGAAGCTTCGGTGGGCTTTGCGAATGGTTTTCCCAGCTTCTGCAGCTTCGACCATTACTGCTGCTCTTTTCCCTTTAAAATCTTCTTTTATCGCCTGTCTGCATTGTTTTGCAAGTTCGGACGTTAGCTAACGATTGCCTGCAGCTCTTGCGATTCCACGCTGGCATATCAGCTCGAGTGTTTCTGGAGACAGACGTTCTTGGTGACTTTCAAACTCTCAGCTTTCATAGCGCTAACGTGAAGATTTTGAATGAGCCGATTGTCTTCGTATTTTTGTTGAGCGAACGCGAGGTGTTATGGTGTTGAGCCGATTGTATTCTTCATCGATGTTATCGACAACGGCATCTTTCCAACAGCCAACTAATGAATTGAATAAGTCCCAGTTTGCGGTGGTTCTGGGACTTCGGTTTTGGAATTTGGCGGCTTCTTCTCTTTTCCGAGAGAAATAGAATTTTTACACTAAGGAAACGGTGCTCTGATCCCGTGTAGAATGTTGGGACAACAGCTACATCGATTAGGTAAAACCTTCTATTCACTATGATGTGGTCTATTTCGTTATGGTACTCTCCATTGGGAGACTCCAACGTCCAGCGTTAAGGGTGGGTTTTCTGGAATTGCGAGTTACCATGGATTGTCTTGATCGCCATGATAAACTCAGGCAGCCTCTCACCTTGTTCGTTCCATTCTGATCCGTGGGTCGCAATGTGACGTTCTTCTAAGTCCAGTCTTGGCGTTGAAATTTCCAATGGTGACCTTGAAGAATGTGTGGTCTTCTCTGTAGAACTTCTCCAAGTCCTTATAGACCGCTTCAACTTCTTCTTCGTCATAGCTTGATATCGGCGCGTAAACGACGAAGATTGTCAAAGCCGGTATTGATCTACATCTTTTTAATCGTAAACGTCTGATTCGGGTTGTAAGTTGTTCGAATGAATCGATGTTCATGGCTAAACTGATGTTGACGAGAACGCCGACGCCTCCGACTCCTCTACTGTCGCATGTTCTGAGGAACAGTTCTTCTCCAGTGTCATTGACGGCGTTGAAAGGCTGGCGTACTCTCTTCTCTGCCAGGCCGATGACGCCACATTTTATCCTTCTTGCTTGCATGAGCAACTCTTCTATCGAGGACTCGGATGCAAGTGTACGTGCATTGTAGGTACAGATCGTCCCCATAGCTCTCTGAAATACAGGCAGCTTCCATTGGCTCTGAGATTTTAGCAGCTTTTTTGTACTCGTCCTACCCAACGCTGCGAAATTGTGCGCTCTTTGGGGGTCAGGGAATGAGGTCCTTTTTTTTTGCTGTGTTCAGCATTTTTGATACCCAGGTATAGCTTGCTGGGCTTTGAGCGTGGGGGCTGGGTATGCTCACGGGTAGCTTGCCAGGCTCTCCCAAAGTGAACATAGAGCTTATTTGTTGAAGGCGACTCCTAACCGCCTCTCATATACTTCCCAGATAGTTGTATACTATTGAAAAATTGAGGATAAAGAATTCAATATGGGGGTTTTAAAGAAGTACAGAAGTGAAGCATTCTTCCGCTTGTGCACTACAGTATCCAATTAGGCAGACTGTGTGTCCCTGAATGGTTTCTCCACCCAAACGACCCTTTTCACCACGATACATTTTAAATCATTTTTTCTGCTTTACCATGCGCTTTAACTACTTACAAATTTTATTTTTATCAAAATACCTAATTAACCGTGAACCTAATCATCTTTAGAAAGCACATCTGATAACTAATAGAGAAGCAAAACGCATTTCATGCAAATCTCTTCTAAAAATCTCGGTTGTTTAAATAAAAATTCAGGTGTGAATAAATCCGGTGAGGCCGAGCTCATCTTGTCGATCAACCTGCCTCTCAGAGAAAGTGCACAATCGCTTCTCTTCCGCACTAAGCCCTTGACTGCTTTTAAAACGGCAGGAATCACTACGTAAACTTTTTCTTAGCTGGTTAGAGATCTCCTCAAAGCGAAGGAATCGTGGTATGTCAATGTGCCTTACATGTACAGTTGCATAATGCCGTGTTCAAGTGGGCGTATGATGCGCAATGGTTATAGTAGAGCTACTTGGTCGCTGGTTCGTTCCCACACCACAAGCTAATAAAGCCCTATCCAGCGCTGTAAAATTGATACCACATTTGGCCGGCAGAATAAGAACAGTGACTTCATACAACGACCAGATATGCATTACATCATATCTGCGATGCTGCAAATGAAGTCGAATGTGCGTCGCATCCTAGAGGGTTTGGTCAACGCCAAACGCCTTATCTTTTAATTCAGACTTCCATAAAGTTTTCAATAATCTTCGTTGTCTTAACCTTTTTATTTACTGCCTATTCTTTTTAACGGCAGGGTGTTTGCGAAATATGTGGTGTTAAAGTTAAGATTGTGATATAACTATAGCCTCAGCTTAACTGGGTTCAATGCCGATTTGGGCTGCCTAGATCAATCCCGTTGACGGGTGATTGCTGATGGTAAAAGATCGATAGAACTACCTGAGAGACAGGCGAAACGAAGAACCCGCATGGTGTGGTGGTGAACGCGTTACTCCCCGGAAAAGACAATAGCGTGTTCGTTCCCCACCGCAGACACATGCGGTCCGGAGTTTTGCAAATATCTCGGCATTATACAAGTCATACTTCGCAACATATCCTGCCGCTAAAAAAGAATAGACAGTAAATAAAAGGGTTAAGATTGTGATTATAACTCAAAGCCTCAGCTTAACTGGGTTCAATGCCGATTTGGGCTGCCTAGATCAATCCCGTTGACGGGTGATTGCTGATGGTAAAAGATCGATAGAACTAGCTGAGAGACAGGCGAAACGAAGGACCCGCATGGTGTGGTGGTGAACGCGTTACTCCCCGGAAAGGACAATAGCGCGTTCGTTCCCCACCATAGACACCTGCGGTCCAGAGTTTTGCAAATATCTCAGCATTTCATACGAGTTATATTTGGCAACATACCCTACCATTAAGAAGAAAAAAGACGGTAAATAAAAGGGTTAAGGTTCTGATATTACTGTTAAATTAGTAATTTAAACTTCAATTGGAAAAGTGAATTTGGTTTCACACGACCTCTACATTTTTTCCCCTACCGTGTCCTCCTATGTTAAAGCGGATAGATGGCTTAAACATGGATCAAAAGCCGAGCATCGACCTGTTCCCAGACGTAGCTTAGCTAAAGTGAGGGACTTTCTGTGCCTGCAATGCCGGAGCGACTTGTAACTTCCATGTACACCCAACCCTATTCTTACAAATGTACATATCATAAAATGACTACAAAATAGTTATTCTATTGAAACTGTTCATAGTAGCCTCCAATAAATGAGCCCGTGGGGTACTTCCAAAGGAAGCCCCGAGGAGATTTTCTAAGTGGACATCCGTAGTGACTGTCGTGCTAGACGTCGTTCTAATCAGTTACGATTTTATTAAATTCAATATTTTCGACAACGGTAAGCCCACAAATGCTCCCATAATTGTACTACTTCCGGTAGCTAGAGGCACATATCTACATATTAATTCCTTTTTCACATTAAGATCACTCGCTTCCCTGAAATGGATGGACACATCGAAATTTGTTTAATTAACATATAAAATCGCTGAAGTAGAGCGGTACTAATTTCCCGACCCCGGAGTGATAAGAAGCTTGGTGAGCCCGGAGCGGGATCGAATCAGCACTGTGCTCGTGATGGTTGACATCACTACCACTGTGCTAGCCGCTCCTTGAATATTGATCATATATAATCATAAAGAGCCTAACTTCTTTTATTACACGGCTCTTCATTTCACGTCTTAACATATCCATCATTGTACCCATTAACCCATTAATACCCATTAACATCATTATTCGTATCAAAAATACTTCGACTCAAACAAAACGAATCATAGAATGCACAAAATACAGATATCAGTCAAATGCCTTGCCTTCTGCTTATATCGAACTATACTTGAGATATGAACATTTAATTATATATGTACATTAACATCAGAACACACCTAAATACTCGAACATCAAACGATAAACCACTCCAGTTTCCACTCTTATATGGTTCCGGATCCATGATGCATCAAGAAAAAGTTGCTTAATGCGAAATTAATTGGGAACCTAGAAGCTTTATGCGCAAAATTGGAAACTTTCTGAAGCCCGTAACGAATCTGAAGGGCTAGATTTCCGGGATTCCCTTCAGATTCGTTACGGGCCTAGCATACAACCTACTTCTCCCCAGGGTCTGTATGCTAAGCCCGTAACGAATCTGAAGGGCTAGATTTCCGGGATACACGAACATAAAGCTGATGACGAGGAGAGATGTAGGCTGTATGCTAAGTAGGCGTTGACGTTAAATTATCATGTACTGAACGAGAATCTACAATTTCAGGACGTGGATAAGATTTGCTGATTACATCTGACCATGGAGTACCGTAGTTCGGTGGCGGCTGATTCATATAGTGGAACTGTGTAGCTTCGTTCTCCTCTTTCGGTTGCTCCTCCGTCACATCATGCCCCCTACTAGATTTTGACGAGGTATTAGCATGAAATAAAGGCCTGAAATGTTTCTTACTAAACAAAAAATGTCATGAACAAATAATAAAGTTTGGATTAGAAGTCTATATACACAGATTTTCTGAAGCCGCACTTTAAGCAGGGCAATATCTTCATAGTGAAAGACGAATTTCAGCATTGAAACCCCATATAAATAAAGGATAAAAGATAAAGCTCTCGGTGTTGATCAATCCCTGAATGCGTTATGAATTCGGCTTCATTAAGCGTCGTTTGGAGGTGATTGAATGCATAGCTGGCCTTTATAACGACCCGCGGTGGTTGTATCGAGCCAGTGCTGCTACTATCCTCCGAGGCAAGTCTGGTAGCAATTTGCCGACTTCAGAGGGATGGAAGACTTTGTGGGCCACTGAAGCGAGGATCGATCCCATGTGTATTGCAGGGCGCCTCGGACCAAAGCGCCACACGCGCCCTCAAGTAAATGCTAAGTAGAAAATTTAAACAACATAAAACCTAAACCTTATAGATTACTTTCTAAACGAAATTGGAAGATTTTCAGAAAAAAGTACGTAACTCTGCACCTTTCCACCTGATGAAGAAAATTTAGACCGAAGTCAGAAGTCGTATGATTAATCCCATTAAACCAGAAAAGTACCGAGCAGAACAGATAAGAGGAAAATAGGAATATCGAAATATGAACCTACGATAGAACAACTTGGAAGAAAGTGACCACTACGACGCAAACCATGTAAGCTATGAAGATACGACCAAGTAACACAAGATTCCAATGAGCTGTCGGATTTTTTGCAGCCCATCTCCACGTATAGCGGAAGGATCCTGGTGCTCCATACCTGAAGCTCAAAAAGTTGAACGTCTTAACCACGATACTGCACTTACAGTCAAGATTCGATATCCATACTACTAATAGATACTACGCAAAAAACAACTACAATGATGCTGAGATATGAGCAAAACTAGGAACTTCAGGTGACCTGTGATTGGTGATGGCATCGATAGAGTAAGAACATGGCCAAGAGAAAGGCAAACCAAGACCTCGGTTAGTGTAATGAATAGCGCATAAGCCCCGTGTAAGGGTAATCATGGGTTCGAAGCCTAATTGAGTTTCCGAATTTTGCTCAAATCTCAGCACCCTTGTGATTTTTCACACAAAGAAGTACTTTAGATACTTTAAAAGCACTAAATATGATAACCAAACGAGAACATACCTAGTACGGAATTCATGCTCCCTTGTAGCTCGTTCCTTTATAAATTCTTCCCATAACTTCTCCCCTTCACGTCTCATACGCGCATCGTATGATTCTCTCTCATTTCGCATCCTGTTAAACTCCTTCCATACCTTAAACCAGAACATCAACAAGAAAGTATCTGTGCAAACTACAAGACACGTAAACCTGCGTTGTGAACAACCCCTATACACAGCCTTCATGAAAAAATCGTCCACTACTATGCAGCGAAGGATGAGAATTTCACCGAAGAAACATACTCTCTCATAGTCGTGCCGCACAAATGGCCTACTGTGGAAAGAGTTTTCTGTTCGTCTGTTGGAATATTCCCAGAAATCCTATAAAAACCAGAATTTTGCAATTCTACGTAAAAACAAAAAAGCATGTCAACTCTACAGAAAGGGTAAGATAGATTACATGGATACTTGGATGTCCAGTCTTCACCGGTTGTGCGGACCCCAGCATGATTTACACGTGTTTATTAAGCCACTGTGGTTCACTGAAGTCCTGAGGTCAACCTAGTCAAAGTCTGCCCCAGGTAGCCACCACCGCAGGCTGTCGTCGCCATTTTGGATCAGAAGGAGATCTGGCCACTGTGCGACTAGTTTGGTATCAGGATGGTGGTGGATACTGTTATTAGTTTACTCTTAGTTGAGCTTTCTTATGGAAACACCAGAATTCTTCTCGGCTTGGGAAACCCCGTCAAGGGACGAATCCCTCTTCCCTCTTCCTTGTGCATCGCAGCCAGACACCCAGGGGAACACCTCTCAGCCGCGATGAGGCGGTGAGCCGTTGAGATTGATTACAACTGGATGATGAATATATCGTCAATTAATGCAATTGAATACAAATTATTTGCTTTACAGAAACGATCACATGTACAAAAAGGAGAGAACAGAAAACTGTGGACATAAATTTATAAAGCGAAGAGTATAAAAATGAAAAACGACAAAGTATTTAAAAATTTAAACGCCTACAGAATTTTCATACAACAAACTTTGAACTTGAAGCGATCCTCATTCTGCCTATGTCCGTAACCTCCTTCATTGTCATAAATCCTCCGCTTTTCAGGATCTTTCAAGCATTCGTAGGCCTCAGTTATTTCAATAAACTTTGCCTGTGCACCAGCATCTCGTCCAGCGACATCTGGATGATACTAAAACTGATAAGACGCAATGTCGATACACGTACCGAGTAGCAATACAATCTACTACGAATTCTATTCTATCGGATAGTCAGCGTAAGGTTGTTAGTTGACATTAAAGCTTTCCAAAAGGTGTAAAAGTGTAAAGGATAAAACTCTAGGCATTGATCAATCCCTGAGGTGTGCACCATGCATTCAACTTCATTAATCGTTGGATGATTGGATGTCTGGTTCTCGCGGCGGCCTACCGATCTATCGAGCAGTGCTGTTATCCTTCAAGAAAAGTCTGATACCAATTTACTGATCCCGGAAGGATGAAGAGCTTGGTAAACCTGGGGGACGGGATCGATCCCATGTGCACTGCAGTGCGCCTTTGACCACTGCGATACATGCGCCCTAACCCCCACCGTATCCGTATCGGTCAAAAGTTGTTCGTTCCCTGAATAGTTCCTTATCTACTATTTCGATGACGCCATTTTGAAGCAGAATAAACACTAAAGCACATAAATGTGAAGAATTTACCTTCTTTGACAGTTCGTAGTAAGCAGCTTTTATTTGACGTTGAGTCGCATCTCTTTTCAAACCCAATATCTGATAATAGTCCTTCCTACAATAGCATTTAAATAAACGGATGTCACCCTAACATCAATAGCACCTCAACAATGAAACTAAAGGAGGTCAGAAGGCTACCTTAAGAAAGCTACTAAACTTAAAAATAATGTAAAACCAAATCATCTTCGTACCGATTCCTAAGAAAGATATCCGAACAATGTATGCAGATAAAAACTCACAGTGATGACTTAGAACTTATCTGTCGTAACTTCTGGATCGAGTATAGCCCACGATACACCTTAATGCCATTTTGACTTGGACAAGTAATCATAAAACTTCTAAAGGGAATACAAGATCAATCCCAAATTCAAGAAAACTGTAAATAAATGGCCAGGCATATAACTGAAGACTACAATATAGAACAAGGTACAAGCCGCCTTCTACAATGAAAACGCTAATGATAAACATTTATTAAATCAATCTCTTCTAATGTTCATAAAGTGAAATCTTTGTGGGAAGGGATAGGAAGAAAAGCCAAACCAACAAAATGAAAAGCATAAAAGCAAGATGGAAATAATCTTAATCCTAAGAACGAAACAACACCTACGAGTGTCTTCCTGTTCAAGGAAACCTACCTAGTCTTACAAGTTATCGCTTAACACTCAGAATGGATCGAAATGGAAATAACATTGACTTTCAAACTTCATGTAGATCTAAGGTGTGGAACTTGTCCCGAACCGATTCACGCGGCCACGGCTCAAGTACCTGATGTAGACGAGATGTCAAAACTGTAAGACAATCTAGTAAAAAAGAAAAAAACACGAAAGAACAAATCAGAGGCTATGACGGCATGACTACACCAGGAAGACAGATGTATTTTTCTCTATGAAGCCTAACAGAACTGCCATTCTTAGTGCTAAAAGCTTTAGAAGTACATCCAAAATGATGCTGAGATATTTGCAAAACTTCATAGGTGACTGCTGATAACACCTACAAAATACGGCTGAAAGAAAGGCGAAGCAAAGGGCCGGAACGGTGCAGTGGTGAGCGCGTTAGCCCCCAGAAAAGGTAATAGCGTGGTTCAATCCCCGCCGCAAACACCTACAGTCCGGAGTTTTGCAAATGTCTCAGAATCATTGTGGGTAAATTTGACATCATACCCTGCCATAAAAAAACAGGCACTAAATAAAAAGTGAATACATTATGTTTCAGAGACATATTACGATGTGTCATGAAGATAGCTAACCGGATGTAGCAGATGTTTATCAGTACAGCACCACCAAACACCGCAGCCAAAACAACTAGCATTCTATTCCTGTGCTTCTCTTGATAGAATTCCTTCTCCGGATCTCTAAACAGCAAAGGATAAAGGGGAAGGAAAACACCTTGGAATCCGAAACCTTAGAGACAACCTAAAGTGACAGCCGCTCTGTGGGCTTCCACGTCGTGGCCCACTATACGCCACGTCCCTAGCTCTATTAAGGTCGATAACTGTATTCTTCTTGAACTTCAGATGAGTTGCCTAATAGAAACTAAAGTTACTATAACACTGAAAGTCAAAAATAATCCTTGGATCAGGGAATATAAAGACTTTCACGCAAGAAATACTCTGGAGAATAGTTCTGAGAAAGAACGAAAAGTTCCCAGAAAGACTAGAACAAAATCTGAACCTCTCTAAGGTATCCAGCACTGGAAACCACTTGATCATCATAAGCTGCTCTCCTCTTCGGATTTCGCAAACAATCATAAGCTTCTTTCATCTGGATCGTACCAAAAAGAAAAAAGATACTAGAAACAGTAAGTTTGCCTATGGAATTCGCAAAAGGCACACAATCGTTAGGAAAACAGGAAGTAAACGTTTGGTAAAAATCCAGTCAAATCCTTGAAATTCTCACTTCCATAAATAACTCCGTATCAGATCTTTGACTCCATCCCAAGCGGCTATCTCGAAGTTTTGACTTCCGATCAGGATGAAGCTGAAATAATACTCAACGCTTTACTTTACTGCCCATTATTTCTTCACGGCAGGGTACAAAGTGAAGTCCAGCCCCAGTAATTCTGAAATGTTTGGAAAACTCGGCAACCCGAACTAGCTTCGAAGCCGCGATTATAGCAATCATCCATCAACGGGATTGATTTGTGGAGCATAAATCGGCATCAAACCCATAAAGCTGAGGCTCCAGTCGAAATTATAGTGTTCAGTTTCTGTCTGCTTAATCGCGGGTTCGAAGCCTTTCTAGTGCTTCGAGTTTGCAAATATCTCAGCAACATTGCGGACCCGAAGTATTCGAGAATCTTCTTTACAAAAATACTTATATCATGGACTTCAGATATCCAAGTAGGTGTACTATCAATACAAAGAGAAATTGGGAAACAAAGGACCCAAACCACCTCAGCTGACTTCTTCGCGAAAGCAGTCTTTATCTCCTCTAAGGACGCGTTCGACTTCACTCCAAGGATCTCATAATAGTTCACTTTCCTGGAAAATCAATAGATAAACAAACTATTTCATCAACTAGTACCATTAAATTGCGGCAAAACTGAACCACATACTTCGGCAAATACGAAACACTTCGCTTCGACAGTACCGCTGCACAAGGTCTTCCCAGTAACAACATAAATTATACCAGTAAGAGCACCTCCCTATCCAACATTGAGAAGTTTCTGCAAAAGAACTATGCAACTGTGTCGATGTAAATGTTATTATCAGAAATGCTTTACAACTAAGTTAGAGTACAACGATACTAAGATATCTGCAAAACTCCTGATCGCGGGTAAATATGATGGCTAACGAACGCGCTATTACCCCTGCCCCGTGCCTACGGATTCACCAACACACCATGCGGAGTCTTTGTTTCGCCTGTCTCTCCGCTAGTTTTCTACCTAATGCTGCCATCAGTGATCACCCATCTACGGGAGTGATCTGGGGAGCATTAATCGGCGTTGAAGCCAGTTAAGCTGAGGCTGTAGGCGAAATCAAAATGTTAACTTTTTATTTACTGCCTATTATTATTTTTCACGGTAGGATTGATCTAAAACACGGCCATTACGATGCTGAGATATTTGCAAAACTTCGACCCCAGTGCATATGGAACCTGCAATTACCCGTACGCCGGGTAACACATGAGCGCCTGGAGAGAGAAACCGCGTGTTCGATCTGGTCTTGGGTCCAAGCTTTGCAAATACCTCAACATTATGGTGGTTATACTTGTCTATATGTACCTGTAAAAGTGGACATTAAATTGCTCGAGTTGGGCTGATGATAACCGAATGTCAGAAATCAACATGTTGACATGAAGCTTAACAAACACTTAAGTAACTAGATAAGCTTAGAATTCCCTTAAATCCTTAAATCTCTTTAAGACATAAAGGCTATTTGCAAGAGCTTCTAAAATGCTCTAATACAGACCCTTAACGTTGGCTTCGTTTCAAAAGGCGAATTCAAAACACGTGGAGCGCGAAATTTTCGAGCGGGATCCTGTCCACGTCTACATAGACAGGCGGTGCATTACAGTTTCGTATTCTTTTCAAGTACTGGTTCATTTTTTACTGCAGACCAAAGTAGTACATTTTCCCTCGAGAGATCCATCCAGAATGGATATATTAGAAGAACTGGAATAGCAAACCGAGACCGAATGTTTTTTGTCACGTACTGGTCTTCTGCTCAGTGGATCCAAGGAATTCTTCACTCTTCTGTTAACTGGCGTTCGCGTACTAGATATTCTATAAGCATCGAGTTAGCTCTGTAGAATTTTTATTATCGATTGGTCTCGTTTTTATGTCTTTTTTGTCGTGTTCTTTAAAGTCGTTCCTGAATTGACGACGTGTTTCCAATGTTGTTATGGAACGATATTTGCTCTTTTTTATCGTAAATAGCTTTCGCTGGAAGCTTTCGTAGTACTACATAGCACACTTTGTTGCAAACTTTATTAATTGGGGCGAAAATCAAGGGAATCATTACCAACGTCATAACACAGTTACTACTACGGTGGGGAACGAACGCGCTATTACCCTTTCCGGGACTAACGCGTTCAACACCACACTATGCGGGTCCTTCGTTTCACCTGCCTTTCACAGCTAGTTCTATCGATGAGTGCCATAATCACCCATCAACAGGATTGATCTCTGGAGCCCAAATCGGCATTGAATCCAGTTAAGCCGAGGCTCTAGTCCTGTTCATTGCCGATTTGGGCTTCCCAGATCAATCCCGTTGACCGGTGATTGGTGATGGCATTGATCGATAGGACTAGCTGGGAGACAGGCGAAACGAAGGATTCGCATGGTATGGTGGTGAACGCGTTACTTCCCGGAAAGAACAATAGCGCTTTCGTTCCCCACCGCAGACACTCTCGATCCGGAGTGTTGTAAATATCTCGGTGACACTGTGGTTGTTTCACACATAATACCGTGCCGCGAAAATTGTAATAGGCAGTAAATAAAAAGGTTTACAGTTACTACTATCGTGACGTAAGCCCAGGCTTGTGGATCTCATGAGTTTTCTGGGAAGGCTTGTGGAGGTGACTAAATCAGCAAAACTCCCAAAAAATGGAGATCAAACTGTGGCCTGCGCAACCAGTGAGGCTAGGCCGTCCAAGTATCCAAGTAAGCAAGCCACTGTGGTTCTCTGGGGTCCCGAGGTCAGTCTAGCCGTAGTTTGCCCCATGTCCTCACCACCATAGGCAGTCGCAGCTCTTGTGGATCAGAGGGAGATTTGCCACTATGCGACAAATTTGATATCAGGACGATGGTGAATCCTGGTATTGGTTTGCCCTTAGCTGGTCTTGCAAATGGAAATGCCGGACTCAGCTTGGGAGGGTTTTCAAAAATAAGCTATATATAATAGTGGGTCGTCGCTGACGCTTTAACCCCTCGACGTGGTCAATTTCGTCCAGAACCTTGTGGAGCATGAACATGTGGAACCAAACATTGTGCTCTGTGTTCGCTAATGGTTGGTTACAAATGTAAAACAAAATATGCACCACGGTGGTATAGAAATTGAATGTGATAATCTTCTTAGATTGTTAAGCCAACATGATTTTGATTAAGATGCTTGTTCGGTTAGGGTTTCGACATCCTCGTCTTCATCAGTGCCGATTAAATATCATTATCAACCTAGTGTTAACTTAACAATCCAAGAAAGTATTAATCACTACTAAGGAGGTTGAATGACGTAATGATTTAGGAAGAAAACTGAATCTAGGAATTCCTGAATTAATCCCCAAGCAACGTGTACTATGGTTTCGTTTAAAAAGAAGTATCTTAATTGAGATGTGAAGTTCCAGATGTTGCCAACAAAAAAGAGGACTACTGGTGCCACGATTCCAGCAGCACCGGCGAAGAAACGTAAAACTGACGAGTCACACAAGCCAAAAGTTAGTTTCATTAGACAGATTTTTCTTTTTTTGGCTTTTTAGAATTAGGTTTACTAAGAGGATGCCTAGTTTATTTTTTATGTCAATAGGGTTCATTTGAATCTCATCTCGAGCACCTTTCACAAACGTCTGAAGTCGCAACATCGTTGTGGAATAGGGATGATCTTGAGGAAGATCTAGGCATTGGAAACTCAGTTGCTTTTCAGGTATATCCGTTCCTTTAGTTTCATAATGTTTACGCAGAGATATACCAGTCGTGGAAATGTGGGCTTTATGAGAATATTCGAATGGTGCGTGTAGGGCAGTGGTCAGAGACGCCCTGCATTACACATGAGATCTATCCCTGGGCCCCAGACGCACCAAGCTCTCCTTCTTTCCGGAGTCGGCAAATTGTACCAGACTTGTATGGGAGGATAGCAGCACTGGCTCGATACATCGGTAGGCCACCACGAGTCATTGTAAAAGGCCAGGTATGCATTCAGTCTTCTCCAGCGATGCTTGATGAAGTTCAATGCATGGCGCATCGCTCAGGGATTGATGACTCCTGAGAGCTCTTTTATTCGAATGACAATTGAGAAATGGGACAAAGATGAATGATTAAAACTTGTGGTACAACGAGTGCGGCTTTTGATGGCATTCGAAGTGAGGAGAGAGGAAAAGGATCGTGGTTAGGCTTTATTTTAATTTACACGATGATAAACACTTCTGAGACTAACTGGGTTCAATGCCGGCTTGTAATCCTCAGATCAATCCCGTTGACGGGTGATTGATGGTAACACCTATTCGGCATGGTGTAGTAATGAATATTTTAAACCCCGGAAAGTTTTGCAAACCCTTCTTTTAGGTTTTCGATATTGAGACGTACCACGAACCAGGTACGGCAACCACTTTTGATAGAACCAATGTTAAGCTTTATGGTGTTACACGGCGAGGCAACTCAGTTTGCGCAATCGTCACTGATTATTTTCCATATTTTTATTTCCAGGTTTGAATCATTGTGCGTATACCCTATAGAAATTTGTTTTTACAACATTATTTTGTGAATGTACACTTTTGTTCAGGCTCCAGAGCACTTTTCTTCCGAGCATCTTGACACTACTCAAAGGAGCTTAAACAGCTCTATAGCGAGTTCGCTTCGGAAAGCGAACTCAAGTCTTTCTATGTCCTCTGCAGTTGTAGATAATTTAGTGCATTTAAGCATCGTTTTTGGAGAAAATCTCTACTATTATCGTGGTGAGTTTTTGTCATCTTCGTAGTGGTACTTCTTTCCCACACAGGATACTGAAATGAGCGTCTACTTAGCAAGGCATCATCCAAGTGATTCTAGGATCTGAGAAAAAGTATCCATTTATTAAAGTTAGTGGGACAACTAATGCGTTAAACAAGGCAAAACAAGAATTGAAAAGCAATGGATTATCGTATGGTTCAGGAACAACACAGGTAATCAGTCGTTAAAGTCAACATGTGGTACATAAACCAGTAATTACTAAGCATGTGAGAGCCGTAGCAGGATGATTTTATTTTCTTTTTATCCCAATTTTCGTTTATTTGGCTTAAACTTTTCTTAACAACAGGTTGGTACGCTCTATGAAGCCAATATTGATGCTGAAGTCAAGTTCATGGCCAAAAGCGGTATAGTTGGATGTGGGTGGGTGGAAATACCCACAGAAAAAGGGAGAATCGTCAGTAAATCAGCGCAGAGCTCAAGGTTCGCTCTTTCTGTTTCTTGTTATTGACTCCTCAATACGTCAATGTTTTCTTCGTAGGTGTCAAATTGAAGTAGAAGTAAAGCTACCAGATTTGTTGGTACATGAGCCTGAAGGCGAATGGGCCGATGTTGCTCCTGTTCGGTTAGTTTTGTTAAGAATTTGTTGTTGAGTAAGGAGAACATAAGTTTTATAGAACACTTTCTTTCGACATAGAATGTATGGGTCGTCGTGGAGTGTTTCCCGATGCAAGTGAGGACTCGGTGATTCAAATTGCCAACATGGTTAAGGTATATTTTTGAATCGCTATTGTGCTTGTGGTCGTGGTTGGTGCGTGTGGCGTAGTGGTCGGAGAGGCCCTGCAATACACATGGGATCGATTGTCGCGCTCGTGACCCACCTTCCATCCCTCAGGGTCGGCGAATTGATACCAACGTTGTCTCGGAGGATTGATCAGCTTCGATAGCTTTTTTTTTTTTGATATGTTTGTGTTACGTCTTCTAATTTTACACTATATTGTTTATCAGGTTGAAGGCGAATCCGAACCATTTATACGGAATTGCTTTGTATTAGGAACTTGCGCTCCGGTTATTGGTTCTGAGATTATTCAGTGCGAAAGCGAGAAGGATTTACTGGAAAAGTTAGTCGAGATTATCTTATATTCATTTTCGTTCTAAGTTGTGTTAAAATACTCTGGAACGATACTGAAGAAGTTGGAGGTCATGCGGATTTGTTCAGGTGGGCTGAGTTTGTTCGAATAGTGGATCCTGATATCTTGACTGGATATAACATCCTAAATTTCGACTTGCCATACATATTGGACCGGGCGAAGGTTTCTACTGAAAGATACACTACATTTTGAAGACGATTTTGGAAGAGAGCAATGCTTAATTACTACCTCATGTTTGTAGGTGCTTAAACTTCCTTCTGTCTCCATGCTAGGACGACAGCTTGACCGGGCATCTGGTGTACGTGATGCGGCCATTTCTTCGAAGCAAATGGGAAGCCGTGTTAACAAAAGCATAGATATCCATGGTCGGGTCATCTTTGATGTTTTGCAGGTATTGTCTTCTATTGGTCTTCATTCTCCAAAAATGTTGAAGCGCTATCCAATTCATTACATTTTTACACATCCCAAGAAGGTAAATTGTTTGCCTTCACGCAAGGTCTTGTAGCCATAAGCCCATTACCATTTAACGAGTGCTTCCCTGATCAGGGACGCCTTTTTCCAGCGGTCTTCAAAAATTCGGGCTATTGCATGCTTAGTTCCTCGTCATCAGCTTTTGTTGATCCTATTCATTACCTCTGTGGATCCTTCCTTACATTGTTTATTCTTCGTTGAACTTCTGAATATATGCGCCAGGTTCCTCAGTTTGAGCGAACTACACAGGGGTGAACTTTTTCTTACACATTGCGTTCGAGCAGCCAGGCGCATGCCATGGAAAGGAACTAAATCGTTAAAAGGGTCGCGTCTTATATCGCTTCGTTAGTTTCGCATTATTAAGAATTGGAATACAGTATAGCTGCTCAATATGACCGTTCTAGCCTTACTGTGGACTTTTTAGGTTGTTTTACGTGATTACAAACTGCGAAGTTACACTTTAAATAGCGTGTCCTACCATTTTCTGTCAGAACAAAAGGAAGATGTGGAACATAGTATAATTTCCGATTTACAAAGAGGAGATGAACACAGTCGTAGGAGGTCTGCAAAGTCACGAAATGCTTTTCGTTCTGTTTTGTACTTCTTTTTTAGACTTGCAGTGTACTGCATGAAGGATGCCGTTCTGCCATTACGATTATTGGAAAAGCTTTTATCAGTAATTAACTACATGGAGATGGCAAGAGTAACTGGTGTCCCCTTAAATTACCTTCTTACGAGAGGCCAGCAAATCAAGGTCTCTCTTTTCGGTTTCGTGAAAGAACAACTTAGGTCGACCCACGTTTTTTGACGGGGAAGAAAAGTTTCTTTTTAAAAATTGTAAGAGTTGGGTGTTGTGAAGTTAGATCAATCGTAGTAAGGAAGATATTTCTAATTTCTATTGCTAATTTAATACGTTGACGGGAGTAATTCTTAAATGTTCAGATTCTCTCGATGATGCTTCGAAAATCTAAAGCGGACAACTTTTTCCTTCCTGTTATTGAAGTGCAAGGTGCAGATTCTGAGGGGTTAGCTGGTTTTTTTTTTACGATTTGCCAACTATTGTTGCTGTTCTGGACAGATTAGCTTATTGTTTTACCTGTGCTGAACGGGTTACTAACTACTTCATTCGTGGTTAACAATATACCACTCTATGATGTTTAACAGAAGTATGTTGCATGTTAAAAGCAACAGTCGTCGTTTTCAGGTACGAGGGTGCTACAGTAATCGAGCCAATGCGTGGATTTTATAACGAACCAATTGCAACGCTAGATTTTGCTTCATTGTACCCATCTATTATGATTGCCCACAATCTGTGCTATACAACCCTCCTGAAAAAGCCAGAAGGGGAGGAGGGTAAGGCAAGTTTTCGTGCCAGTTCTATGCACTTAAGATTCGTGGATAAACAAAAGTGTTTCTCGGTAGTTCTTAGATACTTAGATGTCCCGTCCTCATTGGTTCCGCAGGCCCCAGCATATTCTCCACAGATTTTTGCTGGTTTGGCTATTATGGGTCACTGAAGTTCCGAGCTCAGCCTAGCAAGAGTTTGCCCCGGGTCGTTGCCACCACAATCAGTCGCCGCCCTTGTGGATCAGAGGGAGATTTGACACCATGCGACTAGTTTGATACCCGATCGTTGGTGAATTCTAGTGTTGGTTTGCTCTAAGCTGGGCTTCTCGGTGGAAAAATCAGACTCTTTCTCAGCTTGGGAAACCCTGCTGAGAGTTGAATCCTCCCACTATACATCGCAGATCGACGCCAAGGAACACCTTTCAGTCACGATGAGACGGTAGACCGTTAGGTGGTCTCAGTAATTCAAAGTCGTAAATTCACCAATGCTTGTAGTAAGAGCAGAATCATTTAGGATTATGTCCGAACACCATCTGGAAATTACTTTGCAACAAAGGAACGTCGACGTGGTCTTCTACCTGTGATATTGGAGGACTTGTTAGCTGCACGGTACGAAGTTGTCTACCCCATGAGTTTTAGTTATGCAGATTTGCCTTTAGGAAACGTGCAAAAAACGATATGAAGCAAGAAAAAGACGAGTTTCGTAGGATGGTGCTCAATGGCCGACAACTTGCCTTAAAGGTTTGATATCCTTTTCGTAGTGGTGCATTTATGAAAGGAAACTTTGTTCGATCAGATTTCTGCCAATTCTGTCTATGGCTTCACTGGAGCAACAGTGGGGAAGCTACCTTGTTTGGAAATTTCGCAATCGGTAACTGCTTTTGGAAGGCAGATGATCGATATGACTAAGAGTGAGGTTGAAAAACGCTATGTTGCTGGTACTCTGGATGGAAAATGTCCTATAAATGCACAAGTTAGTTCGTTTCAATGTTAATTAGGGGACCATTTTAGATTTCACCATTTTCCTCTTTTTGTTACTTACGGCTGGTTTGACTTAACTATAGGTTATCTATGGAGATACAGATTCTGTTATGGTTCGATTTGGTGTGAAAACTGTTGCTGAAGCAATGGAAATTGGTCTACATGCTGCCACTGAAGTCAGCAAGATCTTCACACCTCCTATCAAACTGGAATTCGAGAAGGTCAGTTCAGGATAAATTGTTCAGTGTGCACCTATTTGCTACGTTGTAGTTTTTCAGGTTTACTTCCCTTATCTACTTATTAATAAGAAGCGATATGCAGGTCTTTATTTCACCAAACCGGATAAGCACGATAAAATGGATTGTAAGGTGGGTACGATTGAGCAAAGTAAGTGCAGCAAATGTAGTTCTGTCGGAAAGAACTGAAAAGCGCTTAGATTTGGTCAAATACACTTCCTTCCAACTCCACCCAATTCCCTGTTTTACTAAGTCAAGGGTAACTTTTGTTACGTGAAGGGATTATTAATGTTCACATCAAATAAATGTCTAATATCGAACAATTTGTACTATACTCTTATTCGTATATAATGCTGAGATATTTGCAAAACTCCGGACCGCAAGTGTATGCGGTGGGGAGCGAACGCGGAGTTTTCCAAATATCTCAGCATTATATACGAGTTATATTTCGCAACATACCCTGCCATTAAAAAGAAAAAGGCAGTAAATAAAAGGGTTAAGATTATACACTTATTGTTGCTCATCATGGCCTGCCAACAGTGCACCGCTTTATGGTTGGCAAGTGTCTTTGGTTGTTGGGCTGTGATATACAGCGGTGGGATTCATCTCCCAGTAGGATCCACTACAGTCCTGGTACCAAACTGGTTGCATATTGTCAAATCTCCTGATCCACAAGAGTGGCGACTGCGTGTGGTGATGGAGACCTGAGGCAGACCTTGGCTAAACTGACCTCGAGACTTCAGGGAACCACATGGGCTTGTTCAGCAAGGTTCAAAAAAAAAATTAGAAATTATACTGAGGTCTGCACAAGTAGTGAAGGCCATCTAAATATCCAAGTATCCAAGTGGTATTTACTGGTGGAATCGTTCAGGGTTTGGAAACCGTCCGGCGAGACAACTGTCCATTAGTTGCAAAAGTACTCAGTACATGTCTTGAGAAATTGATGATCGATCGTGATGCGAGTTCAGCACTAGAATTTGCGAAGAGAGTCATATCAGATTTGCTCTGCAACAAGATCGACATCTCTTTGCTTATAGTTAGCAAAGAACTGACAAAGTCGGGTGATGTGAGATTTGTTCTATCTCTAAGAACTATGACCTTTTTCTTTTCGTTATAATGTTTTCATTGTTCGTGGTAATTCAGAAATATCAAGCTAAACAAGCTCACGTTGAGTTAGCGGCAAGAATGCGTAAACGTGACCCAGGATCGGCTCCTCGACTTGGTGACAGAGTCCCTTATGTGTTCAGTGAGATTTTCCTCAAATATCTGATTGTTTTGTGAAAGTTTTAAAGAGGCACGTGTAGCGCAGCAGTTGGAGGTGTTGTGTAATTCACTACTGTTTCAATCACGAGCTCCTCTTTAACTAAGCCTTCATCCTTCTGGGGTGAACAAATTCGTATAGGACTTGTCTATGAGTATAAAAGAAATTGGGGTAATACATTACTGAGGCCTAGTTAGGTCACTCTATGAACCAAATACACATTTAATAACCTCTAAATCCCTATTGAGGTCGGATACATGCTGCATCCCTAAGGAATGGATCAGCTCAATTCCCTTTATCCACTTTGTTTTTCATGTAAAAATGTTACGGTGGTGTGTCAAAAGAGAATCCAGCAAACATTTTTTGGTAGTTTTTTAACCATTCTTTTCCTCTTTACTGTTACCACAGTGATGTTTATGTTTATCTGATGTTTGTAGACCGTACTGCTTTTAGTTGCTTCTGCCAAGAATGTGCCAGCGTACGAAAAAGCAGAGGATCCTGCGTTTGTTCTTAAGAACAATATTCCAATAGACACGAAGCACTATCTGACAAACCAGCTAGCAAAACCACTGGCCAGAATATTTGAACCCATATTGGGTGATCGCGCAGAGCGGGTGAATTTTCACCTCCCACATTTCTGTATTTCCTTTATGGGTCTTCAATTTTTTTCACTAATCTGTTTGCTAAGATTGCTGTGTGGCATAGCCCAGCCAGGGTTTTAGCAATGTTTTTGTTCAGATTTTGACAGAAGGCGAACACACACGTATACGAACAGTCGTTCAAAGCAAAGTTGGCGGTCTTGCAGCTTTCACAAAGAAACAAGTTACTTGTTTGGGGTAAGCGAATCCTTACTGATCAACGTTGTCATAAAATATCTCTGATCAGTGTTGTCTTAAAATTTGTTCATTTGTTTAAAGAAAAAGCTGTCAGAAACAAGGAAAATTAGCATCTTAGCAGTAGGAAACAAAATGAAATAAAAGAAAATTTCACTGCGCTCAATTTGTGGTGGTAAGTCTATTAGAAATATAGGTAATTTGCATGGTGAAACTAGAAGACGGTGGCTGCGCTCCGCTAATTATCCATATGGTGAATAAAACCATAGGAAGAAGTCAGTTTGCTAGTATTTCCGTTAAATTTTTCCTTGAGTTTGCACACTTACTAATTTTCCGTGTCTACCTTCCATATAGGGGCGCGTGTGGCTCAGTGCTCGGAGTCATCCTGAAGCACACACGTGGAATCGATCTCCGCGCCCATGGCTCACCAAGCCTTCGATTCCTCCGGGGTCGGCAAATTGGTACCGGACCTGCCTGGGAGGATAGTGGCACTGGCTCGATACGTCGATAGGCCACCGCGAGTAATTGTAAAAGCCAGATATGCATTCACTCACCTCCAATGGTGCGTAATGAAGTTGAACGCATGGCACATTCCTCAGAAGTTGATCAATTCCGAGGGCTTTAGCCCTTTTTTAATCCTTTATCAATAAACAGGTCTATGACTGTTCGCAATGTCTTTCATAAATATAGGAGTTAATTTATTAATGATGCAGTTTTCAGTTGCAAAGCTGTACTCAAGGACCAAAGTCGAGCTGCGTGTGATTTTTGTATATCTCAAGGCAAACTGCCGGAAATCTATGCTCACAGGTGGTCTTTGTTCAGGAAATTTAGTTTAGTAAAGTGCAACTTCTTCCATAAGTACTATTCCTACATATTCCTGAACACTCATTTTAGGGTAGCAAATGTGAATCTTCTTGAGCGACACTTCTCGAGACTGTGGACGGAGTGCCAAAATTGCGCTAAAACCATGCACGATAAGGCTCGTATTTTATCGTAAAAAAACTGGGAAGCAGTCCCACTTTTTCATCCAGATACCCAGCTGGGAGTAAACCAGTGTTAAGGTCGCGGCCGTCCTGATAGGAAACCGGTTAGTAGATGGTAAATCACACTCCAATCCATAAGGACGGCCATCTCCGTGATGTCGATCTGAGAGCGCTGAAGCAAGATTGCCGGATTTCTTTGACTGAACCATCTACAAATTGTCTTTCCCTTCTGGCCTTCCAATCTACGATATTGAATACTGAGACAACTGGTGGTAGGCGATCAAATCTGGTATTACATAGGACGTCAGTGGAGCAGGGTTAAAACATCACATCTAAAACGCACCATAGAGACTGTTCCTTGCTCTACACCACCATCATCAGAACAGGCTCTCTGATGAGAATTTGCTTGCTGCTTATATGCCGTGCGAGGTAGAGAGACAACTGAATGACCAACGTACGCCATTTGGGCGATAATACCCATTCCGTTTGTCGAGCAGAAACGTAATCTCGGTAGCCATGAAGTTTTCCATACAGTCATATATAAGCCATCATGTCCTTTCCGTTCTTTGGCTAACCTATAACATCGCGTGACTATTTTTAGTTTTAAACCACGTCGTCGTAAATTGTTATTGAGCTGCTGGTCACCATTCCAAGCACCTAACGAAAATGAACAAGAAGTGTTCTATAATCAGTTGAAAGAAATAACCAAAGACGAAGAGTCCTATGAATTTGTTGTCTTGCCAGAGTAGAAGGTAGAGCCTCAGAAATTTTGGGATAGAAAAATGAATTTAGAGTTCGTGTTCACATCACCCTGTTCGTTAAAAATTTATTTCTCCAGAAAAGAAAAAGTCGCCTCCTAGTTGGGGGTAGCTTAACGGTATGAAACGTGCTTAGTTTTGCCATACTCTCATGAACAAAAGAAGGTGCTTTTTTGACACTTCTTCTCTGCCGGTTCTGAGCATAGCATCTGTGTGCAGGTTTCCATTCATAATCTAGAATTGATTTCGTTTTGGTAGGAGGTGAAAAATAGATCCTGTATTACTACAATATTCCGAACGAAATCTTCCTCTGCTTTTGTGGAATACTGTGAAATTTGAGCGAATAAGATTGTTAGTTGCTCGTCGAATGACCTAGGAGCTGTTTGTTTGCTTGTTGAATGTACAGCAAAAATTGTTTACAAAGACTTTATCCTGCTGCTCCTATGGTGAAGTTTGAATAAAGGATAACTACTCGAGCAAGGATTCCGACAAAGATTCTGCTCCATGAGCGAAAACGGAACCATATTTTTAAGTTCATGGAGCTGTTGGAAGTACTATGTAACTCCTCACCTATGTCGACTTGAAAAGAGCGTCGGATGGCATTGAAAAGAGTGCGGTCCCATCAGTGCTCCTCGTCTAATTAATAGACTTTTCCGGCTTAAGGACTCTGATTAACTGTTGTTATAATTGCACTGCTTAACTACACCTTTTTTCGCTGCGCCTTACCATCCCTATGGATAAGCGAGTCCAATGGAGCCATTGTGAAAGATGTTTTGATGTTTGGTACCGCACTGCAGTGGGCAATAAGGTCAATCGATTGAGACGAGAAGCTCCTACACACTGGTGTGTAAGGAAATTAACTGGTCATGGAGATGAATAGGGGGATAGGTTGTGTATAAGTTGGGAGAATAGCACGTTCATGGGAAAGCCATGGTATGGAGATAACCAGATTAAACTAAATGATTCCGTGATGCACGAGAGAACAGCTGTGACTGGGCGTTTCCATGAATATGTGGAATGATATGGAGAAGCGATCGTACACAAGAAAGAACAGCACGAGCTATTTTCAGTCCTCTCAGGGAAGTCACAGACAAACCAACCGCTCCGGAACGTTGCAACCGCTTTTCCCACTTAAAACGATCTCTCAGCGCTATATTATACAATTTGAACTTTCTTTTGTATTTAAAAATGGCAATGACAGAAAAGTAAAAAGAATGTATGTTAAGGTGTAACTAGCTGTTACAGAGGTACATTGTAAGTGAACAAGTGTCGCTGTTAATGACTGAACATTATTAATTGTTGAAGTTCTACTATCTTAAGGTGACTTGCTCGGCTTGTGATTGTCCCATTTACTACATGCGTGAGAAGGTACGAAGTGATTTAAAAGAAGCTTACTCATGCTTAGACCGGTTTGGCAACCCATCGTGGTGATTTCATGATGCCGATGTATAACCGATTTTATTCTGATTTAACCAACTTGTCTTTTTCTTTTGAGAACTATGCTCTGTCCTCTAACTCTTTATTAAGGTTTTTCTTTGAATACTGACTGCTCTTGCGGATTATTTCCGTCGTATTTTTTGCATTAGTAGGGTTTGGTTCAATGTTTGACTGCTTTACATTCTGGTTATGATTGGGTTGCTGTTACTTTAATTGTGCACGGAATAACTGTTTGTTACGTTTTCGATCTCATCGTTTCTATGTTATGTGGTCATGGTCCGTATAAATCTTCCTAGATTTCGATTTTCACCATGAACTGTTATTGCAGTGTGTTCGATTGTATACCGTCCGAAAAATCTGCATTAGATTACAATATTGATTGATTGATTTGACTACGTATCATATGATTTGGAATTCTTGAACATACTGGTGCATTTCGAGTTTCCAGTTAATGTACCTACATCATGGTCTGTGGTTCGTGATTCTCTCAAAGTGTCTATCGTTGGAATTCAGTGACGACCTGATGGCCATGTGAGCTCCTTTTTTATTTGAATTGCAGTTCCTTACTATTCGTGACATGTTTGACGCAATAGAGGGGAATTTGCGAGCGTTGAATAAGTGGGAGTAGCCATAAAAGGCTTTACCTTTGTTCCTGTAATAAGGAGGAAATCTGTGAGACGAGCCACTTGTTGTTGATAGTGTTGTTCCGATGTAGTATACTTGTCATTCTTTGTATGCGTGTAGCGCAGTGGTAGGAGGCACCTTGCAACACACATGGAAGCGATTCACGCGCCGCTGTCCCACCAAGCCTTTCATCTCTACTGGTCGTCAAATTGGTACTAAACTTCTTTGGGAGGATTACAGCACTGGCTCGATACATCGCTAAGCCACCGCCAGTCATTGTAAAGCTCTGCATTCGTTCAGCAACCTCCAAATGGTGCCTAATGAAGTCGAAAGCATGGCGCACTCCTATGGGATAGGTCAACGCCGAGAACTTTATCCTTTATCTTTGTATGCATGGCTAAAATTCCGTGATGTTCAGGTATAGAGAAAAGATAAAAGGAATGTTTTACTATGCGTATAATGGTTATCTAAATTATGCATTTCCACTCGACGAGCTCAAACCAATTACATGTACAGGTAAGATTTAACCCTAGAATGAGTTAATTTTGTGGTTTCTCTTTTTCTTCTTTCCTTTCTCTTAAATTACACCGTTTTCAATAATAATCAGGACAGGATACATGGGGATCATTCTCGCTGTCATTGGTAGATGCGTTGGATACGCTGATCGTTATGGGTAACACAACAGAATTTCGTCGAGCTGTTGACGCTGTATTGAAGTCTGTAAGTAACAGAATATACCATCTTTTGTCTGCTACTTTTTTCACTAACCAAAAGCTATGCGGGAGCAGGGAGTGGTTTTGATTTTAGAGGGTCTTTGATTAAATGCCTGATGGGGTTGTCAGGGGTAACGACGCAGAAAATAGGAGTCAGAGAACACTTCGAAGGATTGGATTTTAACCATTGTAAGGTTTTATTGTTTACAAGTAGTGTTAGGTTCATGTTTAGGTAAGAACCGATGCGAATGTGAATGTCTCCGTATTTGAAACCAATATTCGTATAGTAGGTGGGCTGATATCTGCCCACATGCTTAGTGGACGTGTTGAAGGTAAGTCTTTGTAGTAGTTGACTTTTTGGAAAATTTATTGGTTTAAAATGCTTAACTCTTTGCGCTTTAGTTGGAATGGTCGACTATTGACCTTAATCAGCCTGTATTACCTTACGAACTCTCTCTAATTAACCGACGGGGCGTTAACATGTATCGTTGATTTTCAGATGGCTAACATTTCATGAATTCGTCTTTTTCACAGTTGTTTTCGTTTTATGGGAATGAGCCACGCTTATGTTGTTCGCATGGAATGAATGCATCGTGAAGGCGAAGTCGCCAAAACGTTAGAAATTCAGAGTCAGCGATACACGATGCCACCTAGTCATGGAGAATTCATGAAATGATGCAACTTATTTGTTCATTGATCTGAGAAATACACGCAGGTATGGTGCTTGAAGACGGATGGCCTTGTTCTGGCCCACTTCTAAGACTGGCTACCTCTTTGGCATTGCGCTTGCTACCAGCTTTTAATACAGGTGATAGACATCACTTCTTTATCATATTTGAATAAACGAGAGCAGATTTATTCAACTGATTTTGTGTTCGGTAGCACTCTTTGTATAGAGAGAATTTTTAGAGACGGGGATGCCATATGGCACAGTGAATTTGAGGTATGGAGTACCGAAGAGTGAAACACCTATTACGTGTACTGCTGGTATTGGAACGTTTATTGTCGGTGAGATGCTTCTAACTAGAGAAAGAAATGAATAACAACTTACTTACTTAGTCGCTTAGACGACGCTCCTTAAGATGTTATGCAATTCACAGTACTTTTCCCACTTATGGTTTTAGAACCGTCATCGAAGCGGCTTTGTTAGGATTCATGAGCGTTTCCAGCTGTGCCTTGAAGAAATTAAGATTGATTGCAGTTATGGAGGCAACTATTCTGCGCACAGAAACCTATCTTTTTCTTGATGTCTTTTTATCTTTCTTGAAATGTTGTTCTAAATCTACTCCAGTTCACTTGTTGGTGTTAGGGACTAGTGAATATTTTGAGGAGGCTTCGGATGCCCGGCTTATTTGACATCATTCGATATTGTTTAAATACCAGCCTTTATTTCACTTCGTGATAGAAAAGTAGGAGAACTACCGTGTCAACTGAGTGAGTGCATCGGTCCAGGACAGAAAATTGTTAAATAAGGATCGAAGTTCCTCAGCTGTTTGTTTTATAGTATGATCATTTCTTTCCCGATTTCGCTGTTTATTCATTGACCCATTCAGGGTGGCACAACTACTATCACATCTGGAGTTTTTCAGTGATTAGGTTTTCTTCCGAAGGAGTCGTAGTCCTGGTTTTCCTCTCTTTCGTTAGGCATGCACAGGAAGCGCCATCTCTGTTTCTGCGAGACTATTCGAAAAGGTGACAATTTTGTTGACAAAAGGAAGAGAAGAAGAGAAGAGATCGAGAAGGGATCCTCGAAAAGTGAAAAGGAAAAAAGAAGATAACCATAGTTCGTTAATACGTATCTCTTTTTCTCCCTCAATGGACTAACTATATATACCACCGGAACGTGATGATGAACAGCTATGGTGGGGTGTCACCCTTGTTTACCAACTCAAATATTGATTGATCCCTCATAACGGTTTGCCACCATCGTGGCTGGAGGTTGTGGGGCTGCGGTTTACAGCGGAGGATAAATCCCTCCGGCTGGGCCTCCCAAGGTGAGGAGTTCGGCGTTTCCATCAGGAAACCCAGCTAAGAGTAAACCAATACCAGCATTCATCACCATCCTGGTATCAAACTAGTCGCATGGTGGTAAATTTACCTCTGACCCGCAAGGGCGGCAACTGCTTGTGGTGGTGACGAACTGAGGCAGACTTTGGCTAAACTGACCTTGGGACTGTAGGAGTCCACAATGACCAAACCAGCAAACCTTCGAAAAATTGGAGCTTTTGCTGGGGCCCACACAACTAGTGTAGACGGGTCATCCAAGTATCCCAGTACCAAGTATTATTGGTTGATCGGTGAAAAAGTTGTATCCTCGTTGAACGTGATTATTGAGGTTGACTAGTTTTCTTATATAGACGTGTCTCTATCTTTATTAGCTGAACCCCACCAGATTGCATTGGTCTTCACACTCTCGAACGAGTTTTTATAATCGACGAGGGTTAGAACAGCCGACATGTGGTATGCCTGGTGGACTCTTAATGTTCTCTAGATGTCTTTCATTCAGTTAAATCTCTTATGAAATCCGGTTTGTTCGATTGGTTGGATCGATTCAGCTTGTGCAGGAAATGCATCAGGATATCTCTTTTAATACAGAGCGCTCTCAGTACGACGATTAAGGGCTACAAAAGCCGCGGCTGTTTGCCTTATAGTGGCAGTGTAGTGATTGCCATATCTGCTGCTTATTACCCATTCCTTTTGCAGCTATGAGGTCATCTGTGATAAATTTCGTCAAGTCGTATAGTGAAAAGCCATGCCATCCAACATTCTTCCAATTGTTTCTTCAGGAACGGTCGTTGGTGGTGTTATTTCGGCTTGCAGGAAGGGTTTGGTCTATTTACGGTTTTGTTGAATTGTGGCGAGACGCTTTTGTAGAATCTGTTTTACTTGGTGTTGTATTGCGGCGAGAAATTGTGGCTTGAAAGCTTTCAACAAGCAGAGCAGAAGACGAAGCGCTTTTGTTGTTGATATATGGAGAAATCTTTTCATGGTCTTCTTTTTTAGTACCGTTTCCAAAATATTCCCCATTTGGTATTGATGAAAATCGTACTGCACTGCCTTTTTCTAAATGAGGTTACTGTTGCTGAATTTATGTCGCAGTGGTCCCTAGTTGGTTCCATCTTTTCTTTTTGAGGAACTCTTTAGTCCTGATCGATAATGATTCCCCGTTTGTGCTTTTGCTATGAACAGCTTGTCCAGCGTAGACTGGAAGACTTTTTAACAGCGTGTCGTTTTTTTGCCAGGTTCTCTTTTGTGCCAGGCACAATTGGATAAAGCCCAGAGAATAGGAATGTTGTATACGACTTGCTCTCTTCATTTTTCAAGGTGACTGGGTTTCTGTTCCACTTTTTAGTGAAGGCAAATCTCCGAAAAAAAAGCGCTGATCTGATCCGCCAACTCCAATTCTTGCAAAGGAAAAATGATAACCTAATTATTTAACTTTACAGTCGATGAACAAATAAAATGAATTTTGCTCAATGTCATTAACAGTCGCATAGGGTTGAATGCGAATAAATTGTCATATTTAGAATTTGGAACATTATCACGTCTAACTGGAAATCCACAGTTTGAGCGAGTAGCATTGAGAGCCCTGGAAACTTTATGGCGAACACGGTCTTCTATTGGTTTGGTTGGGAACCACATCAATGTGCAAACAGGTGCGACTTACTGAGTTATTACAGCTGTTTCCAACTGTTACAGCATTTTTCAGCTGTGAAAACTGGACTTTTTTCTCACTTTACGCTTTATGTACTAAATATCTTCAAGCTGAGTGCAAAAATAAGTCAATAAATTGAATCTCTTGGTACTTTCTTGCGCATTTGTAATCCTGACTTCAATAATACTGTAGTAAGAAAACTTTATTTCCGTATTGATAGAGGAAAAGGAGATTGATCAAATACAAGGTATCAAAAACAAATGGGTCAACCCTCAATTTGACTAGATAGGGAAACGAAATTTAAATCTGTGAGCGGAGGCTTTGACACTGGATGCTTGGAGGGGAATATTGTATTGATAAAAGAAATTAATTCAGTTCTATGTAGTAGAATAGGTGCGAAAATTTATACTATGAAATTGAATGGATAAACTCCTGCGAAAATTGAATTGATGTCAACTTTTGTGAACGAAATAGAAAGTTCGGTTATCAACAGCTTTTTAGGTGAGTGGAAAGCCACGGATACTGGCATAGGTGCAGGAGTGGATTCATACTTTGAGTACCTTGTTAAAGGGGCTCTTCTCTTGCAACGTCCTGCTCTTATGAAGCAGTTTAATGGTAATTCTGATTTGATCGTTTTTAGGCCACTCTTGTTACTACATTTTTGGATGGTAAATTGGTGTTTAAATCATTTTCTGGCAGGGACCTGGACTATTTGTTGCTGGAGAGGGAACACTGTGACCGCGCCTAAACGAAACTGCCAAAGCCGGGTGTTGATCTACACCTCTTCAATCTCCTATGATAACCCTGAAGAATGTGTAGTCTTCTCTGTAGAAATTCTCCAACTCCATATAGGGCGCTTCGACTTTTTCTTCGTCATAGTTTGATGCCCGCGCGTAAACAACGAAGACTGTCAAAGCCGAAATTGATAATACACGTCTTTTTAATCGTAAACGACCAATTCGGGTTGTGACTTATTCGAATGGATCGATGTTCATGGCTAAACTGATGTTGTCGAGAACGCCGACGCCGACGACTCCTCTACTGTCGCATGTTCCGAGGAACAGTTCTTCTCCGGTGCCATAGACGGCGTTGGAAGGCTGGCGTCTTCTCGTCTCGGCCAGGCCGATGACGTCGTACTTTATCCTTCTTGCTTGCATGATCAAATCTTCTACTGAAGACTCGGATGCAAGTGTGCGTGCATTGTAGTTACAGTTCGTCACCCTAGTTCTTTGCTATTCAGGCAGATTAGAATGACCCTGAAATTTTAGCAGCCTTTCTGTACTCGTCCTACGCAATGCTCCCGGGACGCTCCTTCGAGATCAAGGGAGTGATGCCTCGTTTTTTTGTGTCCAGTTTTCTTATACTTATGTATATCTTGTTGGGCTCTGAACGTGAGAGTTGGGTATACTCACGGGTAGCTTGCCAGTCTCTCCCAGAGTGGACATGGAGCTTATTTGTTAGAGGAGAGTCTTAAACTCCTCCCATATACTTCGCTGTCAATTGATTGCAAGACTTTGCCCGAATCGACTTATCGACTTATCGACTTGTAGGAATACCATCCGCATAAACGAGAACACATTCATGCACACATGCATTAATACGTCATAGCAGTTATAGAAGGCATTTGCAAAAGCGGCGCAGCAAAAACGAGGAATCCAACCTCTGGATTCACCGACGTCTCAGGGATGCAAAGGTCGCTTTTGGCCTGCGATTAACCCCTATCCGGCTACTGGGGACGCGCCACGTTGCTTCGAAACTAACCGGCTCTGGATTCCTCATATGAGGGAGATCAGTGGGAGGGGGACAAAGCAATTAGATGGCATTGTCCTTTCGTAGAAGTTTACAAACAGGAAGAGTTTATGCCATAAGTAAAGCAAAAGTAAAAGGACATTGATTTCTGAAAGTTTTGATTTTAAATCATTGTAGAGTTCAAGTGACAGTTTTAAATGAAGATACTTGCTCTTAAATAGATTGAGCAAAGTCTCTTCTGTAAGCCATTGAAGTTTAGAACTCAAGTTTTCTGGTTGTCGAGAAATTATCAGAACTTTACTGAAAACCGGTTTCAGACCCTAAATTTTAAACCCTGCCGTCAAACTCTTCGTTGAAGAAAGATTTTTAATCGTTTGAAATGCTACTCCGACTTTTTTTTGTAAGGTCTCAGTTTGCTTTTGTGGGCTGGAAGAGCTAAATGGTTACCTTTTATATCGAAAGTCTTAGGTGTTTACTATGGTGATTCACGTAGTTCCTAGGTCATATTAGTCCAGTGATTCTTTGTAAAAACGCAATATTTGTGACCTATTTTAGAGTATGCTTCTGCTATAAATCGTTATGTTCGAAAAGGTGACTGGTTTCTGTGGGTGTCCATGGATAAAGGTGCCGTTTCACTGCCCATATTCCAGTCACTGGAGGCGTTTTGGCCTGGTTTATTGGTATATGTTGATTTATTTAACCTTTATTTTCTGATTTCCTACGGTATCAAAACAATACTTGCGCATTTCCAGCATATTTTGTATGCCATACATAGTTTTACGTTTTGTTGCTTCGTAGTTTTCTTTTTAATATGTTTTAATTTCAAGACAATGGTCGGCGATGTTGAGAATGCTTCTCGAATCATGCTCCAGTATTCCCAAGTTATTCGTCAGTATGGTTTCCCGCCCGAGTTCTATAATATACAGAATTCAGCAGTGAGTGGGATCGCAACAAGCACATTTTTTGAAAAGGGCGCAACAATATTTCAAGATCAACTTTCCTTTGATTTTGGTATGATTAGTCATTATGTATTCTTTCTTTCATAAACTTACTCGAGGTTGATAAAAAAATCTTTATTCGGCTAACGTTTTGGCGTCTTCATGTTCACCAGAGCCGATGATCCGAGTCGATGGTCCACAGTTGTCCGTGTTCCCAAGAGATTATTTGTCAACCTCGTATAAGCTTATAAAAGAAAGAATTGGTTTTTTGGAAGTCTAATTAGATATTCCTATCCGCATTATTTTTAGATGTTGTTCTTTCAGATGTTTCATTTTCAGTCCGACAAACGTTCTGCTTTCCCACTGCGTCCTGAAATCGTAGAAAGTTTGATGTACCTGTATAGGGCAACGGAAGATCCGCAATTCTTAGAACTTGGAGCACAAATAGTTGATGTGAGCTACATCGCTTTTTTATAATAATCTGTCATACATCATATATATATATACATATATATGTATACGTACAATATGTATACATATATATGTATATATGTAGTATATATGCATATATATGTATATATGCATGAGGATAGAGTTCTCAGCGTTGATCAATCCCTAAGGGATGCTCCATGTATTCGACCTCATTAAGCTTCGTTTGGAGGTGATTGAATGCATATCTGGTTTTACAATGACTCGCGGTGACCGATGTGTCGAGTCAGTGCTGCTATCCTCCCAGACAAGTCTGGTACCGATTTGCCTACCTCGGAGGTATGAAAGACTTGGTGAGCCTTACGCGCAAGGATCGATCCCATGTGTATTGCAGGACATCCACGTGCTCTGTCCGCAGTACATATATTTGTATATATATATGTGTATATGTATTATATGTGTATATGTATTGAGCAGACCTAGCTATGAATGTATTAGACCTTTTAGGCCATTGAACATAGTGCGAAAACGTCGTGTGGTTACGCCACTATCAATAACGTTGAGGATCATTCAATTGAAGATAGGTATGTTTGCTCATTTCATCGTAAGTTTGTTTTAGTTCGTATGTATAGTGCTATAACTTTATTATTACAACACAAGGTTGTTGGTCCACAAATCTTAGGATGAATAGGTTTTTCCCTAACTTATCAACTGTCTCGAACTGTATGTTTACCTTTCCTCATTCTAATTGATCACGAAAACTTATGGCAAATGAATATGTTTGTTGCTCCTGACCAAATGGTTTTGCTTTTTGTCTTTATGCAAAAACTTGTTTTAGGATGGAGTCGTTTTTCTTAGCTGAGACAACAAAGTACCTGTATCTTCTTTTCGATCCTGAGAACTTTTTGCATAATGATGGAATAGTGGCACGAATAATAGACACGCCAAACGGCGAATGTGTTATAGATGGTGATTTCGTTGCTTTCTTCACTTTTCATTCTTATGAAAATTTTAGTTTCGGTTTTATGAGAGTTTGTAGATCGAAAGCGATGTTATTTCAGGGATCTTTGAATAATGATATTAGGAGAAGATTCGTACACTTTTCTTTCGTGAAATGCTTGGTTTGGTCTCAATCTATGCCATTAAAAAGCTTATGTGGTACCACATTTAAGGAAGAATGACATCCAACTAGTGCATTAATTTAATTTAATTTTTTTATGTGATCTGTCTTCACGTCTACTATGCGGATCCCAACATTTCTGACATTCGCTTCGTTTCCTCGCAACTATTATCCACAAAGATCTTCTAACCTTTATATGTGGCTTTGGTTGCTGCTTGAGAATTTTCATTTCATTTTGAATGTCGTAGAATGTTCGTCGAGCATTTCTCCCTGGAGTCCTGAGATAGTCGTGCTGGAGCGTTCCCAGCTGTATTGCAGAGAGTGGTTATTTTTCCTAGAGTAGTCCGGTACGAATTGCCTGACACCGAAGGAATGAGAGACTTGGTTGCCATTGCTGTCCGCTTCCTTATTACAGTAATGGCTGCTCATTAATAGATTTTTCCTGTCTTTGTAATAGTTCCATCACTTTTTTGAGGTAGAGCTTCGGTCATACATTGTGTACAATTGTCAAGGATTTAGTTGACAAAGAAAACTTCAACCTTGTTATTAGATTCCGTTTATCCTCCAAAAATGCACTATTTTCGGCTACTCTCTTAGTTTTCTTAGACTGAACTGTTTTACTATTGCCTTATGTTTTATTATTACTGTTGCTCAACAACGTTTTGTGCTCTGCAGATCATTTTCATTGCTGGGTGATTGCTTAAGCACAGCTAGAATGTAGTTGAGTTGAAAGGTAAAGTTTGTTGAGAGAAAGGTAAAGCAAAAGCCTCGGTTGGTGTGGCGGGATAGCACGTAAGTCTATGAATGCATAATCGTGGGTTCGATACGCAACTGAGGTTCCGAGGTTTGTTCATATCTCAGCCTCTTTGTGGTTGTATTGCACATATTATGTAACCTTGAGGAAAGGATAGACAGTAAGTAGAAGTTAAGCATTGTTTCATTGTTGTTTCAGCTGGAGGGTACATATTCAACACGGAGGCACACCCGGTTGATCCTGGTATTGTTCATTGTTGTTCGGCACAGAGGCAAGCAGAACGTGAAGCTGTAAGGAAATGGGAAGACAACTACGATTTGCTCTCTATACTTGACCGTATGGATAATATGTCACCGTTGTATTTTCGAAAAGTATGTTGTTCTCCGTTACAAAACAAGGGTTGTTAATCCTATTTAAATTTCGTTAGGTGTTGATAAATTTTTCATGGGAAAGCTTACGCTTGAACTTTTTGTAGGCGTTCCTTGCTGTGGGTGAACAAGTAATCAGTAACCTAATGCTAATAATTAGTAGTAATTTTCTAAATAACCTTTTAGGAATCGTTTCGTGGTCCTGTTAATGACTCGGAAAATGAGCACGAAGGTTCGAAACATCTGCACGAGTCGTTCTCATCAGATCCCTCCCGTGATGTAGAGGAATTTGATTTGGAGATTGATGAATCGCTCAGTGAGGAAGATGAGAGTTCGTAGTGTTATGATTTTCTAGCGAGAATTTTCCATTTAAATTTCCACTGACTGAAAATGGGTTGATTCGTTGGATAATGAAAATAATGGTAACGTCCGAGAAGGTGGCATATCTAACTGCTGCGAAAGTATTGTATTTCCAGTTTTTCTTTTGTAAGAGAAGGTATAGTGGACTGGTCTGCGATGTGTCGACCGATAGATTCTTTTTCCTGTTTATACAACTGTTCTCAAAATAAGCAAAGCAACGTCTGCAAATTCATAAGGTTATAAATGGTTAAAAGGGTTCTCTTAGTGAGCTTTATGTACGCTTTGAAAATTTTTCTTCATGAAAAGATAAAGCTCACGGCGTTGATCAATCCCTGAAGTATGTCCCATGCATTCTAACTCATCAAGCATCGTTAAAAGTGATTGAATGCATATCCGGTCTTCACAATGACTCGCGGTGGCCCACCGATGTATCGAGCCAGTGCTGCTATCTTCTCAGACAAGTCAGGTACCCATTTGCCGACCCCGGAAGGATGGAAGACTTGGTGGGCCATGGGCACGGGGATCGATCACACGTGTTTGTCGCAGTGGCGCCTCCAACCACTGTGCCACAAGCGCCTCGGGTTGGTAATAGGTAGCTAAAAATCTTAATAAGTGAATGTGCTGAAGTGGATTTCGATAACATGATCGTTTGTAGTGTTGCTAGTTATCGACTGGCTCGAAACGGTATCAAGAAAACCTTCATTTGTCTTGCATCGAAATCTTTCAGCGTTCAGTGTACCTTGTTTTACTGAGAAGCTGAGCTGTGTATTGCTGGCATCTCAAACCACTGCACAACACGCGGAAATTTTTCTTGATACATTGTTTTATCGCAGTTAACTCTATCTAGGTATTTGTGTGCTATACTTTTCTTCAAACACCATGATTCATTTACTATTTAATTATATTGAGGAATTTTAATTCGTTTCAGCAGTAGATGCGATTGAAAGGCAGACAAAGTATGTCACGGAGGATTCTTTGGAACTCGATGATTCAAAGGAAGGACAGGAAGCTGATTTAGATGAAGAAAAACAACGCAACAGTGATGACGAGGTGCCGTCTAGGAGAAGTGAAATTGAAGAGCGATTGGAGGATAAAGGAGTCGCTGCAACGCCAGTTCCGCAACCATTAACGGAAGCGTTTTTCCGTGAAACGACGAAGAAAGCATTGTTAACAAATAAGGATATCCTAGATAAGGTAGCTGATTAGTTCTGTTTTCTCTATTACCATAACATCGTTTCATAGTTTTCGAGATGATTTTCCATATGTCTTCAATATATTATAATGTATTATATATAATATAATATATAATTATATATAATATCAATATTATATATATATATATAACACTTTAGAAGGCTAGAATGTCTTAATACTTGGATGCATGCATCCCTACGTTCTTCACCAATTTATTAGACTCCATAATAGTTCTGGGACAGGGAAGTTTTTGTACGAATGAAGTTACAGTAGCCTTATGTCTCGGAGCTTTAGAGGGAAATAATATGTGTTAATTTTGATGCTGATAACTTATAGTACTTTATAGTCTAATGTTAAGTCTTGGTTTAAAAAGAATCATTGGAGGTATTCGGAAATCTCATAGGTGAAAACGCTCATTCTTAATGCTCGGCTGCTTGATGAAGAAAAGCAGAGGAAAAGTGAACTTTCTAATTCTGTTGAAAAGCTCGTTAGTGCACTGTCAAAAGTAAGTTGTGAGTTAAGTAAGGTAAGTTGACCTTCCTATTTGTTTTGCTGTTGTTTTCAATTGTTTTCATACGTCACAGTATAGGTGTGTTATGCAATAGGAGGTAACTAAAAGTAGTATGAGAACCTGAAGTCTAGGAGCGCGTGTACCACAGTGGCTGGAGGCGCCCTGCAGTACATGTGGGATCAATCCCAGCGCCGCAGGCTCACCAAGCCTTTCATCAATCCGGGGTTGGCAAAGTGGTACCAGACGTGTCTGGGAGGATAGCAGCACTGGTTCGATACATTGGTAGGCCACCGCGAGTCATTATAAAGGTCAGATATGCGTTGTAATCTCCAGCGATGCTTAATGAAATCGAATGCATGGTGCATTCCCTAGGGATTGGTCAACGCCGACGGCTTTATCCTTTTCTCCTTTTTATGGGAATTTGATACAATTTTTCTTAATACGAATAGTGCAAAAAAATTAAGCAAGGGAGGTCAGTAAGTGGTAAGATTTACTTGCATTTTTGTTTAGCACACAAATATTCTAATAGGTTTTTGTTGTCTATGAACGTAGTTTCGTTTGTTTTTTTTTATGGAAAATATAATGCTATCCTTAAGGATGTGGTTAAACAGGTCAAGGAATTGAGCGATATTCACTATGAAGATATAAAGCGACATGCAGAGAGAGTAAAGATTGCATCGACGGTACCGGTCGTGACTGTAATGTGTCAGGTAAAATCGTCATTTGGCAAGTATAGATTTTAAAATTCTGGTACTTGACTCACTTTATCTCGTGAGGTTAAGTTGAGTAAGGAAAATTCTGTAGACGGATATATTGGATAGCAATACTTACTTACTTACTTCGATGCTAGGATGGCTCGTCTTCACTGATTGTGCGGATGCCGTCATAATTTCCATTGTTTCAAAGTTTTGCAGGTTTAGCCATTGTGGTTCCCTGGAGTGCCGAGGTAAGCCTGGTCAAAATCTGCCTCAGGTTATCAACACCACAGGCTCTCGCCTACCTTGTGGATCGGAGGGAGATTTGCCACTAAGCAAATAGTTTGATATCAGAACGGTGGTCGATCTTGGCATTGGTTTACTCCTAGCTAGGTTTCTTAATAGAAAAGCTGGAGTCCTTCTCAGTTTGGGAGACCCTGCCGGTGGAATGAGTCCCACCGCTGTACATCGCAGCCTGACACCCAAGAAGACCTTCCAACCACGATGGGTCAGTAAACCGTTGGGAGGCGAATAGAAATAGAGAGGGACAATATTGGTAAATGTTGGAAAGTGAACATTGGCGAACAAATTCTGATGTAGATTATTTCTAATGACTTTGACTATAAATGAAGTAAAAGCCAAGGATGGTAATTTTAATGTTGTGGTTTTGCTTTGTTCACCTCCTTTTTCGTTCATTCTCAAAAAAAAAAAAACGAAAAAAGAAAAAGGTTGCAGATGGCAGTGTTGGTTAATTTGTTTTTGAACATGGTTTTAAGAAAGGTCAATATTTTTAATGTTTTCTCTTCCAGTTCTGCTGCTATCCTACAGAAGAAGTTAGCGATAGTATAAGCTATCGACACTGGATGAACTATATTTACAAGTCGTATATCTACAACAATCGTGGCGTTAGTTTCTCTATTCTCAAGTGGAATAATGTTTTGTCTAAATTTTATTTTTCCAGATTCTTAAACAATTTGTGTCTTAATGTGTGAACTTAAATCTAAGCATTTCTATTTTAAGGAGTCGATTATGGTCAATTAACTATTATAGAACATCGTGAATGAAAGTCAATCTTCCTCTGGGAATGTGATAGTTTATAAACGATTTTTAAGGTGGTGTACGAGCTCGGACCTCTGTGTTGGTTTTATGAAGCGCCGAGAGTAGAGGATAGCTATCACAACGTAGCTCCTGGTGAAGCTTAAGAACATATTATTTAATGATAATTATTTTGATGGTTTGATGGATAGATGACCTCTCACATATCGAGCGGAACCCAACTATCTCTCAAATTGTTTAACTGTCGTGCAACCATTTACAGAGGTGATTGAGGTAATGTGTAGATTCTGTAGGCTTGATAATGTGTTATGTTTTCTTATTGACATGGAGAATAGTGTTTGGGCATGTTTTCCTATAAGTCGTAAGATAGCTCTGTTTAAGCATCTTTAGGGCCCAACCACATCCAATCATCGGCTACCGTGTATCGGTGGAAGGTTTCCCGTTCATTACGGAATTAGTGAATAAGTTATCGGTGATCATACCCATAACCAGAGGAATTCTTATTGTGTGGTCATTATGGTTTTTTTTCTGTTAGTCTATTACCGAGACCGGTAGAGATTTCTTAACGTTTAATCGCCCATTTTTGAACTGCTGTGGTGGGGCACGTGTTGCGAGTGTGCCCAGTAATACACACGTCATCGGTAATCGATCCCACTCCCCAAATAAATAAAGTCCGCTATCCTTCTGGGTCGGCAGATTGGTATTGGACTCCTTTTGAAGAATGGAAATGCTCGATTGATTCAGTGCCACGCCACTTCAAATCACTCCATAGATGAAATGTGTATTAAGTTATTCTATGGTGCTTAATGGGGTTAAATGCATAGTACATCTATAAGGGATAGATAGTGGTGAACGTTTTTGTTTTCACCAGTAATCACAGATGGTGATCATACCAATTCAGTCGTGATCCTTGTGTATATGATTAATATGGTCCCTTCTTGTGACATTCCGCACAAATCATCAACCCCGTGCAAGTTTATCGAAAAAGAATTCATATTGGTTACTCATACCGGGGTTGAAGGAAAGTCGGTTTTGAAGTATTCTCCAGTGTTTTTGAAAAGTGGGACCAATTTGTTATACCGCCTACATATAAAATTCAGATGTTTCTTCGTCAACATCGCTACCGGGAGACGTGCCAATGGAGTTGTTCTATCATTCACCATCTCTTAATCATTTCCAATTAGAGGATGTTGAGCATTTTGGATTCAAACTTCTGTCCTCACCTCCTCTTGGGTTCAACTTTAAGTTTGCTGGACTTGGGCAAGTTACTCTACGGTCTAATGTATCATGGTATTTTTCTTGAATAATGTTTTTTTTCTTTCGTTGTTTTCACTTTCCGTTACTTGTTATCTGTTGTTGAGGTCAATGGAAGACTAGAATTTTCCTCTTGTTCGTTCCAACCTGTCAGATGTTTTCTGGAAAGTTCTTCATCGGATATTTCTATTGGTTTTATCGGGTTAATACTGTGATAATCTGAGTTGATGAAGATGATTAAAGATTTTTAATTTTTTGAAATGTTTCTGACTATCCCTAGCATAAATGCTTACTGAACTTTTCTTCACTGTTTATCAAATTGCATGGACATTGAAAAAGATTTGTCGTAGGGTTTTCTGCAGATGATCAGAAGGTGTTTTTGGTCTCAGAGGAATTACTCGGTGAACAGGTACACAAAACGAACACACAACTGCGGCGAGTTATCTAAGAAAGACGAAGGTAAGTATCCTCTCTATGTCTTGAACACGTATGGCGCAATCGTTGGAGGCATCCTGCCAAACTTGTCTGGGAGGATACCAGCACTGGCTCGATACATCGGTAGGCCACTGCGAGTCACTGTAAAGGCCAGAATGCATATTCAATCACCTCTGACGAAGCTTAGTGAAGTCGAATGCATGGCGGATCTCCTTAGGGATTGATCAACGCCTGAAGCTTTATCCATTATACTTTTATCTCTTGATCTCTCTCTCTCTCTCTTCCTTTTCATCCATTTGAATATCTTATCTATTTGACTTATATTTCCTTCAAAGCGTGTTATGGCAATAGGAAATCCACTTTTGAACTTTTGAATTTTCTTAGAAAATCACTCAGTTCCCGTTGCAACACGTCTTTTGTCCAGAATTGCTTCATAGCTCAGTATTTCATGTCGTTAAGGAGCATATGTCTGTGTTATGGGATGGCTTGTTTACAAAAGGATGAACCGTTTCATTGTATTGCGTGACGCCTACGGAACTGTCCAGGTTTTTTTTATATGTGGTACTCAAAAAACGGTTCAGATGGATTTCTTTGCAAATGGTGCCACCGTTGCGTTTGCATCCATTGCCATCGTAGAAGCGTTCCATCACCATGGAGTATTGTAGATTTTCTCTGTGTGTTTCAGGCAGTCATAGATCCCGAGTCTCCATTATCAAAAATCGTGAAGGATTTGCACTATGAGTCGGTATTGCGGGTGGAAGGAGCTGTGCTTAGTCGTGGAAACAATGTGAATCCAATGATGAAAACAGGCGAAATAGAGGTCTGTGGTCTGGTTTCTTTGAAATTATACTTGCTAATTTTACTACATGACACTTTTTACATCCAGAAAGTTGTTTCTTCATAGTTTTCATCAAGTGCTGTCTCTGTTAAGCACAGTTGGTTTTTCATTGTTAATTCAGTAAAATTCCGTCCACTGCTAGTCCTAGAATCTTCTCTTATTCTGGGAAGCAATCAGAGTTTTCATTTAAATTTGAATTTTGGTCGGACCGTTAGAGATCCTTATAAGGAGCATTCGAGTGTATTCAAGTCGCGGAGGCAGAAGACTTACTGTACCATCCGTTTGGAACGATACGCTTATTCGACACGAATTAGCTTGACAATCTTTAAGAGTTTTTTACACGTATTTGTTAATTTCCTATTTGAGAAAGTTCTATCTCAGATTAATGTGTCGAAACTAATGGTGTTGAACCATGCTTCGTCAAACTTACCAATGCTCCCGGATTCGGAAGCCAGTGAAAAGACACGTTTCACTTATCGATATATAGATCTCCGAAGTGATCGCATGCAAAGGTCGTCTTTTTTCCATTATGGTTTACCAGCTTTTCTATCAGTTTTCTACGCAGCTTACAGATAATCTGGGAATATATTTTCTTTGAAATGCAGGGCGCTTCGTTTACGCTCCACTGTGGTTCACAAAATGAGGCGTTTTCTTATCGAAGAGGCAAAATTCGTCGATGTAAGCGATATTTTGTGAAATACTCACCTTGATCTTATGTGTATCTCTCGTTCATGTCTGAACACTCAAGCTCTAAATTCATTTACTTTACTTTTTTACTTTTTTTTTTTTACTTAATTTACTTGCATTTTACCTTTTTATTTCACTTTAAATTCCTAGATTTGAGAATTTAAGTTATGATTTTGAAGGTCTAGGTGTTTCAGCTTTATGAAGTTTAGTCAAACAGGCGACCACGGGGTTCGGTTCGTTAGTTGGCTAGTGGTTTTTCTAAGAGACCTGAAGGCGATTTATGTTAATTATTTTCTGTACAATTTCTCCTTAATGAGTGGACTAAACGCTGACTTTGCTCAGGCGATAGTCACTATGTTGTACTTCATACTCATACTTTTGGACTTACTTCCATTGCAAAATAAGCCTTTCTAGATTGATTTTTTTTTGATTTATTCACACTTCAATTGTTTTCTTTGCATAGTAAAAACTTCTAAGATCATCTATATTATACGGGTACTTTTGATAATATAACAATGACATCATTAACACGTAGGGGACCGTGCGCATTCTATACAGTCATATTGTATGTGGCACACCGACTGACCGGCATGAGCAATATAAGGACTATTTTCTTTCTTATGGTTTATTTTGGGGCACAGAGCCGTTTTTGTGTAATTTTTGTAATTAGTCGATAACTTATTCAACACATGTTATGGCTAGCGTCAACAAGGAAAAAACTCTATTCCGCACTTCGAAAAATACGAAAAACTTTCTCGAACAACTCCGTCGACTTTGGCTTTCTCCGTAATTTGCCTGCAGCTGACCCTTATTTTAACTGCAGTCGCTATAGTGAATCACAATCGTGGGATAGAATATGTGGGCAATGTGGGCAAAAAAAAAAAGAAGAAATCTGGAATAAGACACGGTGTAAGTTTCTAAAAAGTTGCATATGCTGACAATGCGGTGTTTTCATTATGGAGCGCAGCAACATATTTTTGCATTTGATTAATACTTGACCGCGCAGCACATGTATCACGATGCGCGCATCCTAGAACTTCGTGTGTTTCGTGGCGAGTATCGTTGAATGTTGATTGAGTCAGTTCTCCTCAGAATCCTGAGATAGCCATGCTGAAGTGTCTCTACGTGGATTAGAAAGAAGTAAATTTGCTCCAGAGTTCCACAGAAGGCTGATGCTAATTCCCCGCCTCGGAGCGATGAGGGGCTTGATGGGCCCGGGCTGGGGTCGAGACATAGCCAGGGTTCCGGCTAATGAACGGTATCACCATCAATGCGCTACCCGCTTCACATTAACGCATAGCATATAGTGGTATATCCATAGAACGATAACGCAAAGGCTGTTCTACATTCCTGTTATATCCACAACCACTCAAGTCCCTCAGCTATACAAACATTACCATCTGTTTTCTGGAAATCAAGGTGCTCTGAACGACTAAAAGTTGAGGATCCTCCCAAGCGGCAGGGTCACTAAACGCAAAGCGTTGCGGATATGTTAAAATAATGATTTGGTAGGAATTTTTCATTAATTTGTATGGATTTTTCGGAGAAAATTAGAACAAAAGGGTGGTGGTCATGGTGGTTCCCTCCCAAGGTAGAGCTTTAATATGGTCGACCTTGATGGAATTCATTGGAATCTCGACTGTTCAATGATTTGGGACACATCTGTTGTGCTTATATGTATTTTAGAACGATCTTCGTGTTGAGTTTGAAGAACACTCAGCATCCAAGTCGGGGTCTCTTTTCTCTTCTTTTACATTCCCTGCATAAGATAAATGCGCCAGGTTATCCACTAGTGTGATAAGTATTCGTTTTCACTAAGCGTGGTCATGTAAACTGCATAGTCACACGTATCATTCGTGGCTTCTGCTTCGAAGGAAGTCACCTCTCACGTTATTTGACCCTGCAGCCTGCCTGTTCTCGTAAACTTGTTCGCAAGTGAAACTTCGAACAAATGAATCTGAATGGTTTCTTCCCGGCAGTGGTTTCGGGTTTTGAGGGAAGGGTTGTATGTTTGAGAATATTAAAGTGGAACTTCTTCGTTAACGAATTACTATCATAACATCGGTATTACAATCCGTGTGAGTTCTGTTCCAATTGAACCCAGCTTTAGCGTCCTTCGTTTTTCGAGCAACTTCGTGGTCCAACTTCGAGATACCATGTGAACTTCTGGATTGGAAAAATACAGCCCGTTGGGTACTTTTTTATAATCCCTTGACAAACAGCTTACATTTCTTCGTAGACTTTCCTTACTTTCGATATTTATCTTTGGAGAAGATTCTATACAAAGCGAATTTCTTATACGCACTTAGAGGATGCGTTCATGTTGTTCAACTTATGTTTTCCGATTTCGTCGATCTTGTCTGTGTTGGAAAATGAAAAGGGTTGCCCATGTATTTCAAACGTTCTTTTTTTGCATGTAATTTCTTGGTGTGTTTTCGTATGGGTGCTGAAGCCGAAGTTAGCACGTTGATTTTTCTGGAATACTTTGCTCTACTAAACTCGAAATTTTCTTCGATACTGGTATGTGGGCGAAGTGTACAACATAGGTAGCGTGTTCCAGAGTATATATTTAAGAGTTTCTTTTTAGGTGGAAACTCCTACGCTTTTTCGTCGTACCCCAGGCGGAGCTGCTGAGTTCATAGTTCCTGCGCCGCCTCCACAAAGAGGCCTTTGCTATACTTTGCCACAAAGTCCACAGCAATTTAAACAGTTGCTTATGATTGGTGCCATTGATCGGTATTTTCAGGTTAGTTGTATTTTTTCTTAATGGTTCATTAAAATACAATAAAAGTGAAGCGTCATATTTCTACAAATCAGACCCACATTGTGGCATTAATACGAACATGTTAATGAAGACGAAAATCATGTTTTCATTTCACAAACAAGAGCACTGAGTTTTTCCACGCTAAGGCGGCTTGTGGAACTGATGACGCGTGTTCTATTATTTAATATAAGACGTAGCTGTTGATTTTTTTCAGATTTTGAATTTGTTTTTAGCTTTTGTACATTTTTCCCTATCGAGTTTTGTTTTATTCCATGTTCTATTGTGGGCTTTTATATGACCACTAGTATTGTGCTCGGAGTTTATTCCGGACTACAAAAAAGAGCTTTTGATTGTTCTAATTTTGCAACAATGTCATATTGCCACTAAAAAATCAAAACTGCATTAGAAAGATAGGAACAGTTTACTCAATTGTAACTACAGTCCGTTTGCTATGAAAGATTGCCGTGGTCTCATCTTGTTGCCTCTCAGCGAGTTCAACTGGAACTGCAACCCAGCCAATCTGAAATCCTTGAAACATGGACTGATTATCACTGTGTTAGTTTGGTAATAGGGTAATAAAGGCTAAGGAATTCGGCCTTAATCAATCTCTGAGGGATGCCCCATTGCATTCATCTCCATTTATAGCGTCGTGGAGATAATAAAATTCACATTTGGACTGAACGATGACTTTCGGGCGTGCAGATGTATGTTATCACTGTCTTCTATTCTCCCAGATAATTTTGGTAACAAGTCCCACTTCGAAATGTATAGAGGGTTTGGTCCATCCGGGATCCAAGGTCGAACTAACGGCCTCGTGAGTATTGCAAGTTGGTCATGACGACTGCCTCCGTCAATGTATAAAGGTGGTCAAAATCCATTTAGCCTCAAATATTTAACCGTGACCAACAATTCCTCGGTAATACCACGGCCTCAGAATCTTGATTATAACAACTTCGATGTGGTAATTTATCTAAGTTTTGTAAAAACAAGAGCCTATCATTTTGTTTGCCATCTGTTCTTCTGTCATTCTAAAATGTCCAAATTTATTCAGGACATTGGGAAGTGGTTATTGGAATATTTGTTTCTATAAATTTATAGGTCTTTTGTGTCGTTTTCTTGTTCAGCAATCGCGAGGTTTTTAAACAGCATACATTTACTTCCATAGAAAAACACAATACAATACAACGCTAGCTGACGTTTCGGCAGTATCGCCTTCTTCAGAGCCTGGAAGGGCATGCTGATATACAATCTACTAGGCCAAACGCTTCAATAACACTTACTAAAAGACGAAAGACTCTTTGGTAATTACATGATCAACAACTTCTCGAAAAACCCACCGCTTTTTCGTGACTTCCAATGAGGAAGTTTAGAACAGCTGATTATAGTCGCATGTGGTTGACGACTGCACCATCCCACATCAAAAATCGATGCGAACGTACGGGATCAGGTCGCGTATGACCTCCGGGCATTCATCCCTGCTATTCATTGTAGGGTTTTTGCATTGATCCAAAAAGCCTCTAGGAGTTTTCGCGCTGGTGTTTTGGACTCCTGTGCAAGGATATTGACTTTTACTTCAAAATCGTCTCCGCTATGCTTTTGTATCCTATGCGTGCCTAATGGGGTGCTTCGTCTTAGTTTTCGTTTGCCATCTAGGTGTTCTTTTATACGGATACACAAAGGTCTGCCCGTTTCGCCAATATATTCATCTCCGCAATTGTTACACGAGATCAGGTATATCGCTGAACTCATGCCATC